CTGTTGTTTTCAGTTTCTTTTTAAAACTGGGCATCTTTTGGTTATCTGAGTGGCGGTAGAGACCTGCATTAAAAACAAAAGGAACCAAACAACTGTCCCTGCCAAGGAAAATCCAAAATGTTCTAAGCCCTGAACAGGGCTCCTCATGCAGTGTCGCACAGTAATAGTGTTGTACATGTTTGTGTACAGCTTTGTGCATTTGATTTCTGTGCTCAGCTTCAGTCACAGGGTAGAATTGTAGTGTTCCATCCACTCAACCGAAGTTACAGTGACTGAATTAGGTTTTAGTTGTCCTTGATCCCTGCAAGGGATTAAAGTCATGTTAACTTTGTCTCATAGTTATGAATATCTCAATCAGAAGCTACCTAGTACAGGTTTTCTAGTGTATATGGATTCTTTTGCTGAGTGGAGACGTGGGCTGTCTGACTCATTCTTGTTTCCTCTTTTAGATTCGGTCCATTTCATTTTTCTGAAGAGAATACAGGAGCACTGAAGTTAGGGCAGTTATGTCAGCAGAAAGACTGCTAAGAATAGATGTTAATGAATGTGTTTTGCTTATTTTTCAACAGAGTGCCATGTAATCGGAAGGCATGTTTTTAGATTTCACATTCTGTTCCTGCCTGTTTTTTAAGAGAGCTACAAGCGTATTTCTATTTTGAGACTTTGCCAAAAATAGTTACATATTTAAAAATGATTTTTTAAAATTTTTTTTCTTTCTTTAAATTAATTATCCTGTCAGATTCGTGTAACCAGCAGTGTTATTTTTATAGCTGGTGGTGGTGCACACAGAGTAAATGTAAAGCAAATGAGCTGTGATGGCTTCCTTTGTTTTTTTGCGTGTGGAGAGAAACAAAGGCACAGATTTATCCTGTGTGATTATAGTAATTTCATGTAGATGCCAGAGTTAGGAAGCTGGTCAAGGTTTCATGTTGAGAGTAAGGGGCAGGAGGTGTTACCATCAAGCAGTTCAAATCACTTGTCATCTAGATTGTCCTTCAGACAGCTGTTGTTCCTCCTCCTCTTCTCCCTCCTCCTTTTTTCCTTTTAAAGATGGCGAATAGGGTCATCAAATTCCTAATTTAGGTGCCTCAGATAAGTATCTGAATATAGAGAGCATGAAAGTGGGCAAAAATTTTCTAAATATGTTAATGCTTGTTACTTGATTGTGATAAAATTGTGCCTACCTCACCATCCACAGCAACTGTGAGTATGCCTACACTTCTCTCTGCATGCACCTCACTGTGGCCACAATCCACTGTTCATGTGTTTGACTGTTTACCCATCTGTCCCAATTTTTAAGCACAAGTAGCCTGATTTAGATTTTAATTTAGCAATGCTTTTCCTTTATATTACATCAGTAGTTTTCAAAAGCCTCCCTACAGGCTGTTTTTAAGACATATAACCCTCTTAAAGCAGTATAGCCTGCTCCCCTGAAATGATAAAAGTAAGATTTACTAAGGTGGAGGGCACGAATGGTCTGTGTCCATGCAGCTTTGACCTCAGTAGGGTTTGTGCTGACTTGACAGCAGAAGGACTTGATGCAGTTGGACTGAAAATCCCGCTGACCTTTATCCAAAGCTCTTACCTTCAGCTGTGACTTACGGGGGAACCCTTCCCTGCCAGCGTGTGATACAGCATTGTAGTAGCCCCTGTTGCAGGGAGTGCTTCAGGCTGCATGATGGGAGTGGGAACACTCCAGCTCCGTTGAAGCTGTCCAACAGAGGAGGCTCTCCCACAAGACGGCTGGGCCCCAGCTGTGGCTCTGTGCTGTAGCCATCTCTCTCCTTCTCAGTCCACGAACCTTGAACAGTGTCCCATTGCCTTGAGCAGCGAAGCGGCAGAGCGGCTGCTGCAGTGAGCAGCGCTGCTGCCCATGGCGTGACAGCCTCATGGCGTAGTGCCCCAGGACATGCTTGGTTCCTGCGTCCCGAGCGCTTGTAGTAGGAGTCTTTTCATTCCAGATGCGTGGGAATGAACATCCCTAGCAAGATCGCTGTGTGCTTGCTGCCCGGCCCAGTGAGTAGATGTTTGCGGCCAGCTTGAACGGGGTGCCTGAGGTATCCATCCTGTACACGCGGTCAGTGTGAGGGTGAGAACCAAGTGAAATTTTACTGGGTTTGTGCTGCAGGCAGCAGGTGAGAGGAAGACGGACTCTGAGAAAGGAGCAGAAAGAAGTTGGTCTCAGCTGATTTTCCTGGTTGTGAGAGAGTAAGCCCTGTCTTGCCTCTTACTCTGGTCATTCTTAAAGCCCTCCTTTCTCTGCCTCAGGCCTGCTTCTTGCCCTTTTCCTACAGAGCCTGTGTGTGTCTGGCAGAGCTCAGCAGTTTTAATTCATTGGCTGTAACATAGTCATGCCTCAGCTCTCACTACTCTTGCTGAGGGAGCAGTAAGCAAACAGCCATGATGAGGACACCAGGCCTTGGTCCTAGTTACACTGAGGACACATTTTGTTTTAAATAAAGTCACTCAGTTTTACCGTCCGTTATGCTGTTAGAGAGTGGCCTTGGTGAATAAGGACCCCTTGAACTGAGGGGGTGAGAAGAGAATTTCATCAGCCTGCTCTTCTTTTTTTCTTTCCAAGCAGAAGAGAATGTGAAGTTGCTATACAAAAAGATCCATACTTTCTTATTAGTTGTTTTTGGTTTTTATACACACACCCTCCCCTTTTGTTTTCTGGACAGGTTTTACGTGACAGCGGAGTGTTTGAGTACACATGGAAGGAACTTACAGTTTGGCTGGAACACTTGGATAATACAAAAGAAGACAAAAAGGAAGCAGTGATTCGATTTTTGGAAAGGGTAACAACTGTTCAAATTAGCTGGATAAACAATACCAAGAATAGCGTTAATGGAAACTAATTATTTTGTTGCTATTGTTGAGAAATCTGTCAAAGATCAGTGAATGAATTCTGAGAAAAGCAGTGTTTGTAATTCTTTATACAGAGCTGACATCTTTCTTGTCCTGAGTGGGAGGACAGTGAAGTGATTTGGAGTAAAATTAAATCGAGAAAGATAAGTTGTTGATATAAGAGTAGAGTGTTTTTTAGAGGGTAGAGGGATGGTTCTTATCTGCTCTTTTTTTATGTGTCAATACCTTACAAAATTAACAGAAATAAGTAAGTTGTAGTCTTCTACAAGAAAAAAATAACATTTCCTGTTTACTTTTCAGGATGTTAAATGCCCAGTGCTTCCTTTTCATTACGTTTTCCCCTGGGACTCAGTCTGTGGTAGCACTGTAGGTGCAAAATTGCAGTGGATGTTTCTTTTTCCATCAGCCCCAGTGTCCCGTATACAGCAATAACCATAGGCAGATTCCCAGAGAAGGAATTTGTCCTAAAACTTGGCCAGCTTCTGACCACTTGTAGCACATGGACTTCCGTAACAGGGTATGGTTCCCGTAGACTTAATAGCCTGTGCACTTACAGTTCTCTCTCATTCTTTGTTAACAGATCCTGTTGAAGCTGGTGACAAACCCCTATCCCTATACAGATAAAGCAGCAGACCTTGTTCAGGAAGCCAGTGTGCTCCAAGTCAATATGTTTAAACAAGACTCTGATAACATCAGCATTCCCGTCTCTCACATTGACGGTATGTGCTGATTCCCTCAACAACAGAGAATACCAAGACCTTATGCTCAATTTTCCAGCCCTAATCTGCAAACTCAAAGCTATAGAAATCCTACTTAAGTAAGGACTTACAGAACGCAGCCCTCCAGTTGTGTTTAGTATCAGAAGTAGAAGTCTGAACTGCAGAGTCACCAGTTTACCACCAAAAGTGATTTCTGATGCAGTTATGCCATTTTAACAGTATTTTAAATTTCTCTTCAGACTCCTGCAGCAGTGTTTTCTAACTGAAATGAAAACTATTACAGTTCCTCTCCCCTGGGCTGCTCATGTCTGTTCATCAAGGAGGAGAGGGCTGTTGTGCCCAGGGAGCTTTTTTATCCCCAGGCACACAGCTAGAATTCTACTGCTCCTGCTTTCTGTGACTAGTCACAGCCAACTCAAAATTCTGCAGATGTGGACACTTGGACAACTTACCATGCGCTAGCTATTCTGCTATAATGGTCCAGGCGTAGGATTTTGCGGTACATAAACGTAAGATAATTGAGGTAGTTTGTCACTTGGTACCAGATGGATCAGTTGCCTTGAGTTGACTGTATTACAGAGTTATAATGCCAGCCATGGAATACGTGGTGTCTTCTTCATGTGTTAAAGCTGTCTTTGACTTGTTCATGATCCAGGTTTGGTTCTCTGGCCTTGTAGAGCTGAGAAGCTCAGGATGTTTTTTTAATGGGGAAGTGGTGGCTTCCTTTCTACTTTGCCATGCAGGTTTCCTGTCACTGTTATGCTCTGACAGTCCTTACCTAATGCCATAGTTATGGCAGTAGGTGGTGCATCTCTTCCCTTCCCTTACTTCTGTCAGCTGGACAGCAGCATTGGAAAGCAAAAAGTTAAGCACATAGTAAGAGACAGTGATTTTTGCAGTTGCATATACCGTCACATTGCTACACAAATGTATCTTTTATCCTTTCTTCTTCTTTGGGAATTCAGAGGCTGCCTTGTATTCCCGGAGTGTTGGATTCTGCCTCTGTTGTTTTCTAGTTAGTCTGAATTCTCTGCTTACTTTTTTTTTTTTTTCCTTTTTTCCCCTTGATAGATGTCCTGGATATGGTGGATGTCCTAATTGAGGGCAGTGATGGCTTAGATGAAGAAATTGGGTTCACTTTAAATGAAGACATGATCATTCAAGCATTTCCATTCAGTGCTGTTGTCCCTGCTGCATTAGAAGCCAGGAATATACTGTTACTTGAGACTAAAAATGGAACAGGTACAGAGTTATTTCTATGTATTGTCTGTTCTAGTGCAGTGGAAGTGGGGTCAGGAACACTTTCTAGCTTATTACAAATGCCTTTTAACCTTTGTCAGTATCGTTCTAAGTGATGCTATATGGCCTGTTGCCCAGACCTTAAGGTTTTAGTGTCTGCTCGTGTAGATTACTTCTGTCAACAGAAGTTTCAACTTTTTTTATTTTGCTTTTCAGGAGTACACATCGTAGAGTATCTTGTTGCTGTTTTCACTGACCTCCTGCACTCTCAGAGGGAGCCCCTTGCCCTCTGCTTGATGTTCCAGCTCTATGATAAGGATCTGCAGTCCCTGAAAGTTTCGAAGTATCCTCAGCTCTACCACTTTAACCAGTACTACAAACTCTGGATACCCCAGCAGTCTCAGGAACCTCTGGTATGAAATACCTGAATGCTTGAGCCAGTATTACTGTAAAACCCTACAGTGTGCAAAGGTTACATTTCCATCAGAAAGTGCATTTACATGAAGCTAATTCTGTATCACTTCTTCATCACACTGGGACACAAATTTGCTCAAGGGCTTTTCTCTAATGGCACAGAGATCTTCACTGTGGTCGGAATGTGAAGCTGGGGTTCAGGGGTTGTACACGATCACCCAGATTGCAGTTTCTCATAAGGCACTGTGTGGTCTAACGTGTGACATGGAGCCTGAGGAGCCACTTTACAGTGGTTGGAGTTCACCCGGATCTGGGTTGGGAATGCACAGGCCAGCTGTGCTAGGCATTGATGTGTTTTTGAGTTAGCCCAGCGGTGCCCATGTGCAGGTTCCCCGTGGAACACCTTTGGCTAGCTCTGTGGTAGCAGGACTGTAGACAACTTGCTTCTGGAACTTCAGTCCTGGTTTCAGCACAGGACTCGATTCACAACAAAGGTAGCTGAAGAAACTTTTGATTCACACTCATCTTTATTTTTCTCTTACGTTTCTTTTTTTCCATTTTAAACAGTTCAAAAAACGCAAAGAGATATGCAAAGAACCTGCTGTGGCCCTGGATTCTATATTTACCACTTTGCTAAAGAAAGCCTACGAGAGAGGAAGCAATACTTTACTGGAAGACGATATCCAGACAAAATTGAGAGACTTGGCTTCCCAGCTCCCACCTGAACGGCTTTTGTTAGGAGTGAAGCATGTGTTGCTATACCTGAAATCCACAGTGGAGAACTTTGGCACTGTAAGAGCAATATTGTGATTATATTGTGGGATTGCTTGGTTTATTTTAATACAGAAAGCACAAATGACTTGGCTGTTAAAACTTAAGGATGCAGTTCTGCAGCTCTTTCACATACTCAGTTCTCACTGAGGCTACAGAGCATCAGACACCTAATTTGTACACAAATACTTATCCTAGTGGGAGGGAGGGAAAGGGATGTCTTGGCATTGAGCTCAGCTGTCGTGCCACTGATCTGTGTGTAGTGCAAATAAACTCCAGCTTTTAATCCAGCTTCTGGGTCTCTGCAAGAAGCCTTTCCAGAGAGTGTAATTCACTGGTCTGTGTTATACCAGAAGTCGCAATACAGCTAAAAAAAAATCAATGAATACTTATTTGGCACCCTAAGACTTTGCTTAGAATCAAGTTTCTACGGGAGTGATTCTTTCCTCCAGAAAAGGTTGTCATCTAGGAATTTCTTCGTTCATTTCTATTTCTGTTGGGTAATTATCCTTCTGCTCCCATGCTTCTCTTTTCACAACTTCCACAGCTTAGTAAGACTTTTGGTCCTCACCTTATTGACCTCTGTGTGGACCTGCTGAGAACCTTGATGTGCCGTGGAAATCAGATAGAACTGGATAATCAGCAGAAGCGAGAAGAGCATCAGGCTGAGTCGGATCTCTTTATGGACGAGGAATCTCTGATTGCAGAGGAGTTTTCAGATGAGAAGGTACCAAATCCCTTGATACACAGGCCAGAAGCTCACCTGTTAGTAAATTTGGATTTGATTTATTTTCTAGGGAAATAGTCATAAACTCTACTGAACTGTTAATTAAAGCAAATTATCTTAAAGGTTAACAATTTTTGAGGCCAAATTATGTTGATATTTTTTCACCAATCACCAAAACATAGAACTGGCTAAACATGACAGAGACCAGGGGATCTAGCAGGGATCAGGCTTTATGAGTGCTGTGCCTTGATAATAATCATGGGGATTTGTGGGATTTCGGTTAGGATTAAAGTGTCAGTCATGCCCTCACTGTATCAGGTCTTTAATAGGATTTTACTGCCTTGTAGAAGCTTTTGCCAGGACCTCAGAAGAGGAGGGAGTGAACAGGATATCATACACTATTTCACCAAGTTGTACTGAATGGAAACATGCTGATGCAGAAGGATGCTCTTAAGATCTAGGAGAAGGACTTACAAGACTTACAAGCTTGCTTTTTTTTACTTTTTTTTTTTAGCAAGGCCTCTTGCAACAGAACAAGGGGCAGTGGTTTTAAACTGAAAGAGGATAGATTTATACTGGACATAAGGAAGAAGGTTTTTACAATGAGCGTGATGAAACAAATGCTGGAACAGGTTGCCCAGAGAGGTGGTGGAGACTCCAACCTGGGACACATTCAAGGTCAGGCTGGATGGAGCTCTGAGCAACCTGGTCTGGTTAAAGGTGTCCCTGCTCACTGCAGGAGAGTTGGACTAGATGATCTTTAGAGGTTCCTTCCAACCTAGTGCATTCTGTGATTTGATGAACTTTTGAGTGTGTGGTCCTGCAGTTACCAGACTACTGTCTGGAGGTTTGACCAAACTTCATCATCCACAGGCTCACTCTTGGGTTGGAATGTGGTCAGGAGAGGTCCTTACAGAGATTACTCACCTTTGCAGAAGAAATTCTATTCCCTAAACCCTGTGTAAAACCTAGTTATAAAAAAGACATACTTGGAGGAGCAAGGTTTTGCCCTTCTTTCATCTGTTCCGCCTATTTGTGGAGATTAGAATGGAATTGTATTGACAAACCCCAGAATATATAATTTTCCCCTGGAAATAAGCTTAGACATGTGGAAAATGTTCAGTGGAGGCATGCCTCCCACATCATAAATGTCGAAAGAATGTATTTATATGATTGTAATTCATTAACGTTTTTATCCTCTGACCAGTTAATAGACAATTTCATGTTCAGTAATTGTAATTAACAAGCTCTGGAAATTAGGCAGATGAGTGATTTTTATTTTTTTCCCTTGAACTGTAATTATCCAGTCAGTGATATTGTTACAACCATTTGTTCCAGGCAACAGAAGACACACTCATATTGATTTTCAGACATCCTACCCTGCAGAGTTGGTTCTTGGCTTTAGAACAACGTTCTCTTCCTCAGCACAATTTAAACCCTGTCACCGTGAAGCTCCTGTCGGCTCACCTCAATTCTGGTGTGCTCCAGCTGTTGAAAACGGGTGCCTCGATGCTGCAGAGCGTGGATCACAAACATGTGTTATCAAAGTATTTTGAAGCTATCACAAGAAGTGTCTTGAAAGAGCTACAGGCTGCAGGGAAAGACAGAAGCCAGCTCTCTCCCAAGAAGTCTCACCCGCTGGAAGCTCTGGAGGAGTTGCACGTGTACATGACTGCAGCTCAGCTGAAGGAGATCACGTTAACCATGCTGCGACTTCCCGAGATAAGTTTGACTATTCAGAAATCTGAAAAATCCCCTAAAAAAGGGAAAGAATTAAGCTTCTATGGACAGATTTTGGTGCAGCTCCTCACAGAGAGCTACCAGAGGCAGCCCCAGCGAGGAGAACTACTCTTCTCCACAGAGCACATGAAAGCATTGGGCATACTGATGTCAGCGTCAGCCAGCAAAGATCTGGAGGAACTTTTCCTTCAGGCTCTCCAAAGTGAGCCAGTCCTTGCCCATGCAGTCAGTGCAGAGGTGCATATTCACTGCCTTAATCAGAGGTCAGAAACGTCTCTTGCCATCGTGGGCATGCTGATGAAACACTGTAGGACTCACCTGCTGCAGTTTGAGCTGTGGTGTCTGAGCAGCGCCGCTGGGAAGTGCCTCAGGAAAAACGTGGAGAGCTTTCTTCCGCTCATTGATGTGTATTTGCAATGCAGAGACCAGTATGATTTCACCCGGCCTTCCACAGGTAAAGCCACAACTGATGCCCATTTGTGATTTGGGAGGCCAAATTCCTGGTTTAGGCTCTGCTGGCCTTAAGCTATTGGATCCTCTTCAAATAAGTAGAGGTGATAGAATTTATGTGTCTAACTTCTAGTCATTCTCGT